ATAACAATACTACAACACTGGTCGCACGCACTACAATAACAATACTACTACACTGGTCGCACGCACTACAATAACAATACTACAACACTGGTCGCACGCACTACAATAACAATACTACTACACTGGTCGCACGCACTACAATAACAATAACGATTAGAAATAATAACTAAAAGATATTAGTGCATCACGTGATAAATCGTTGAAATTCCATTGGATAACGTCGCAGGTACTATGAAGCAATATTGCCCGCCTGAGCGGGCACTATTGCTTGCGCGACGCATTGTTATTATAACGCATTGTGTTCACGTCACGAATCTCCTTCGTCTGGGCGCCACGCAAGAGTTTCGAATTAATAGCGGGTGTGTTTGTGTTGAGCGTTTTGTTACATCGAATGCACCGGCAAATTAGGGATTATAAAGAAGGTATATAAGCATGAAAAGTAAACAGAAACACTAATTGTATTTGCATACATTTTATTTTGTAAAAATAACACACAAATATACTACTTGCTGGTGCTAAAAATTCGTGATGTAGACAGTTTAATACAAATTGAAATTGTTCGTTTAAGAAACTTTGTCTTATTCACTTCATATTTGCCAAGTAGATTGCAAAGTCATGTGATGCACTAAAAACATTAATGCCTGTTGTTGGGGGCACTATGCTCTCATAGTGTTGCTGAGGGAAGGTATAGTGCCCGAGCGGTAGTGAGGGCACTATTTCTTCCCAAAGCAACACTATGACAGCATAGTGCCCCCAACAACAGGCATTAATATATAAATAATACCAGAGACGATCGCATGACGTGACCTATTCACATTTACGTGTATAGCGTCTACATTACTATACAGAAATCTCATAAAGTAAAGAGCTTATAGCGTAATCTAACAAAACCTTCGCAGTGCAAATCGAAAGCGAGGACATATTGACTAAAATCACCAAAAAAGCTGACGAATTTGCGAGGTTTCCGTTTGCGGCAATGGCCGCGGGTGTCCCCCGTCATTGCTTGCTCGTTATAAAGACAAAACCAGTTTCATAGCGGACATGCAAGGGCGAGGCGTGCGACATGCGGATTTGCGCGGAGTGATGAATAGGGGGACAGCGCGCGTGTGACGCAGTTTACAACAGTGAGCATCGAAATTATCTAACATCGCACCGCAACGCCCCTACGCACGCACGCACGCACGCACGCACGCAAAAAAATCTATCTCTATCATCTATCTATCTAATCTATCTATCATCTATCTTCTATATATCTACTCTATCTATCTATCTATCTACTATCTTCTATCTATTTCTATCCTATCTATCACTCTATCTATTCTATCATCTTATCTATCTTTATCTATTATTTTATTTTGTATTTATATCATCTATCTATCTATCGTATCTATCTATCTATCTATCTATTCTATCTATCTGATCTATCTATCTATCTATCTATCTATCTATCTATTTATCTATCTAATCTATCTATTCTATCTTCTATCTATCTATCTATCTATCCATCATCTATCTATCTATAATCTATCTATCTATCTATCTTATCTATCTATATCTCTCCTCTCTATCTCTCGCTTCTTTCTCTCTCCTCTCTCTCTCCCAGGAAGACTCTCTCTCTCTGCTCGATCTCTGCTCTCTCTCTCTCTCTCTTCTCTCTCTCTCTCTCTCTCTCTTCTCGTCCTCTCTCTCTCTGCTCTTTCTTCTCTCTCTCTCTCTTATATATAATGAACGTGATATATCGAACTATAGGTTAGTTATTAATTCACGATAATAATGGTAGTTATTATGCTGATTCCTAACAGCCAGTAAGTATGGCAATTCGCTCGTTAAGGGGGTAATATTTTCGATCTAGGGAAAACTCACTTGAAAGCGTATACAAAGTCTGCATGGCCTAGATACATTACTAGTACCGTCGTAGCAGATATCCTGTGACCTAGTCTTGACGTCGTGTCGGCGTCGGAAACTTGCGCGTGCCACGACTACGGGTTGTCATCATACACTGTATCGTCTCCGTCACTCTTCCAACTTACACGCACATCGTAAATTTAATACGCCCCACCGCACGGAGAACCAGTACACGAGCACGAGAGCGTTTTTACTGCGTATTTGCATTCTGAGCCGAACATAGATGCGGCTGTCGTGAACTTCGTGCGACGATCGCTGGGTGCGCGCGCGCGGCCGCGGGCGTTGCTCAGCTGCGGCCCGAAGATGAGGAAAACTCGAGACGGGCGTCGGGCGGGTGCTATCTGGCGTACGGCGAGGCGTCGGTGATGTTTTCCTGCTATTCCCTGAGAAACAGCGCAGCGCCTGCTGCTGCTGTGTGGCGCGTGTCAGAAATAGAATGCGGGCGGCGATTCTCGGGACTCGAACCTAAAGTTCACGTAACACGATTGAAATAGTTGAACAGTTTAAACCGAAAGTTCGTTTGATATCGGAGTCCTCGCCGTGCCTAGAACGGGGAAACCCCCACGGCAACAACGGTTTCGCCTTTCGATATGCGCGTAATAGCCCTGCAGGCGCAACCTTCGCACATCTCTTCTTCGCCCGCCACACTACAGTAAATAATATAAATAAAGTGTGTTGTCATTGATCGCATAAAACTCTATAAGACGTTTCCCAGCAACAGCTAAATTCCAATGCATTATTGACCGTCGTGTGTGTGCGTGTGTGTGCTTGTGGCGTGTGCGTGTGTGGGCTTTGTGCGGGTGCGTGTGTGTGGGTGTGTGTGTGTGTGTGTGTGTGTGTGTGTGTGTGCGTGCGCGTTGTGTGTGCGTCGTGTGACGTGTGTGTGGTGTTGTGTGTGTGTGTGTGTGTGTGTGTGTGTTGTGTGTGTGTGGTGTGTGTGTGGTGTGGGTGGGTGTCTGTGTGGTGTTGTGTGTGTGGTGTGTGTGCGCGCGCGTGTGTGTGGCGTGTGTCGGCGTGTCCGTGTTTGCGCGTGCGTGTGTGCTGTGCGTGCGTGCGTGCGTAGCGTGCGCTTCTGCGTGCCGTGGTACTATGTGTGCGTAGGTTATGTGTGT